AAACAAACAAACAAACAAACAAACTTGCTGCTTCTTTGCTATCACTGCAACAGACTGAGCAGGGGCAGTGCCTTTGCAAACCAACACATGCTGCCTGCTCCTAATTTGGCATTTTGTTGAGACAATAGAGTGCTTACCTGTGGATGAACAGTGAAACAGAAGCATTGTGTTAACTTCCTGAAAGCACAGATAAATGGAATCTATAGTCAGACTGCTGGAAGGAGGGGAAGGAGGAGTGATGTACTAAGAATAATATGGGCAGGAAAGATCGATCAGTTTGAAAAACTCCAAAACAGGGCAAGGGAATTGGTGGCCTTTGAGGTGTTTTGGCATATGCTCCCAGCATCCCTTACTATTGGTTTTGTTGGCTAGGAAAGATGGGAGGGCCAGAGGTTGCTAGCCTGTCCTCTAAAACCCACACTCTGCTTTTTACATGGTGGTTAAGCAGAAATGATACAGTATATCTGACTGAACAAAAAAATTAAAGCATTTTTCTCCCCCTGCCCCCCATCACAAAGACTTTGTTAATAAGATGCCATTTTTACAAATGAGGGTTGGAAATTCACTTTCAAATGGCTGAATAAAATGTGAAAGACATAATTAATTTGCTTCCAATAATTTGAATAATTTTCTAAAGCTCATGACAATTGAGGCCAAGTAATCATTCTGACTTCAAGTTTGGATTGAATGATTTTCTCTCATGATCATAATATTAGATCTAAGCAAGAATGTGATGTTCCTTACATGATAGAAATCTGGAATACTACAAAAATTTAAATGAGTTGTTCAAATACAGTTATTACGAAATGTCTGCTCATTGTGATGGATTATCTGGCATCTTGCTAGTGATGAGCACTGTTTACTCTGCAGCACATCACCTCTGAATGTAGTTAGTGCTGTGTAGACAATGAAAAAGTATACCTTTTATGATTTATAGCAGTGGGGAATATGAATGCCAGTTTAAGAATTTTTTGTTCTTAATTCTGGGGGAAGCAGCAACTAACATTCTTCATGGCTGTGGTCCATTTCTTTCATGTTCCTTTATTGCAGCCTTACTCAATCTGGTGCCCTCCAAATTATTTGGGCTGCAACTGATACTGCTAAAGTTGACTGCTGGTTCTCAATTCCTTCTTTGCCCAGAGCTGAATAAATAAGTTTTCTGTGTTCTCTCACCTAATACTAAGCTTAGGCCTACCTATCATATATCTATGATTGAGAGGGTGTCACTTGAAGGTAAACAACAGTTCTTTCCAGGCAACTCTAGCATGTACAATCCTGCCCATTGGCCATGCGGACTGAGGCACATAAGAGCTGACATCCAAAGCATCTGGAAGGCATCAGACTGCCCTATGGAAATGGCTCCAGTGGTTACCCCACACAAGTGGTTACCCCATAATACATTTGTGGGTGTGAACTGACAGTATTCTTAGAATACATGCTGGAGTTCCAGATCCTTCCAAATGACATATTTTGATGATTCCCTTGTCAGCCTATCTAGAAAAATATACCTGCTTCTTTATTTCTTTAGTGCCATTGAAAATCATCATGCAAGTTCTTAGGAGGGAACAACCTTATATAATGTGGTCTGACATTGCTCAAATCAGTAGCTGTACTTCTTATTGTATTTGATTCTTCTTTCAGGTACTACAGTGCAACCATTCTGCAGATGTCAGGTGTTCAAGATGACCGGCTTGCAATTTGGCTTGCAGCAGTGACAGCGTTCACTAATTTTATTTTCACTCTTATTGGTGTATGGCTTGTTGAGAAAGTAGGGCGCCGGAAACTCACACTTGGAAGTTTAGCAGGTATGTGTGCTAAATTCTGAGCAGAAATTTGTTATAGTTTTCCATGTTGAGATGGTCTGAGAAGAATGCAGAAACTGAATAACAGTAAAACTATTAATTGTTTTAAAATATTGCTTTTAAAGCATTTTAAACTCATGAACTAAGTTGGTGTGATGTAGAACATAGGTTTGGAGCATGGGTCCTCAAACTATGGCCCATGGGCCGGATTCGGCCTGCCATGCCCATTTATCCAGCCTGCCATAGAGGTTTGGGACTCACCGTGAGCACGCGTGGCAAAGTGGTGGCTTGATCACGCGGAGATTGTTTTGGACTCACTCAGAGAAAAGGATCTCCATACACGTCCCCTGCCAGCACCGCCTTGGCGGTCCATGCCCATTCCCGGAACCTTTCAACTGGCCCCCTGTTAAAAAAGTTTGAGGACTCCTGGTTTAGAGGGAAGACCTGGTTTAGTTGCCTGATCAGGCATGAAGCACTCTGATGCTTCTGGATAATCCTCTCCTCTCCTCTCTCCCACTCACAAAACATATCAAGGATACATGCCCCCACTGCTTGGATTTAAGTGAAATAAGACCTCATAACAACAATTCTTTGTTCTAGTATTTCCCCCAATTAATGAAAAATAAGATCTCACTCTGAATCTTTCTTGTAAGTTTTGATAAGTATGTTTGAGATGTGACTAGCATAGATTCTAGCCATGTGAATAGCTATTACCAAGTCAAGTTTTGATTGACAGTGAAATGACCACAATATGTTCATATTTAGGTAGAGGTAATTGCAGTAGGATCCTTCAGTGAAGTCAAAATAAAGCTTATAAAATATAGCTATTATTTATTTAGACTTCTACTTTTGATTAATATTTTTGTATTGAAACTACAGTAGCTATTGTGTTGTTCATTGTCATTTTTACCAACACACACATACACACTTCAAGACTTGGAGAGATAGCAATATATCATATAATAGGGATTTTAAAAATAAAAATCCTGTACCAATGGATAATTTTACTGATTTTACTGTATTGCTGTTCCCTCTTTGAGTTCAGAATCTTTATTTTGAGAGTTTGAGGTTCTAGAGGAACGGGGTTTTTTTTAAGCTCTTGGTTTCTGATTTCCAGAAATCCTAAAATCTGCAACAGCTGTTTTAATACTAAGTTTCTAGCAACCACATAAACATCAAAGTGTGTGTGTCTTCAGAGCATTCTGTGTCTTAAGGATTCACCTATTTGTAAAATTAGATACATGAACAGGGCTGAAGGAAGGTATTGGATTTCAGATCTATTTGCCTTTCTCTAGTGCATATACCCAGTGCCAAGGAATATTTCAGAAAGATGATTGTAGAGCAAATGAGCTCCAGATACAGTCCAGCAAGTTCTCTCATACATCATCTTGCCCAGTCAGACAGTGTAAAATTTTGGAATCAAACCCATATCTATTTTCACTTAAGGTAAAGAATCTGGGCTAGCTTGGAGGAAACAACAGATGAGGAAAGCTTCTGGCACTCAGTTTGTTATGTGAGTAGCTAGTGCACCTGCTCTTCCTCTTGCTAGAGTCTCACCTTCTACAATGGGCTAAGGGCACAAGTGCAATTGTACAGTAGCAATTAGCTAGATAGGTCTCTGCAGAGGAAGGCATGCTCCAGCAAGCTGGGTGATAGTGGTGCTTTTAGGTATCTTTGGACTCGGGGCTTAATGGAAATAATGAGCAGACTATGGACAGAAAAGTGTCAATCACCCTTTAATTGAAACCGTTAGTGCCGTCATGCTGCACTCTGTACTAGGCCACTAAGGGAGTGAGACCTAAGGTAATTGCAAGGCTGCTAAATTCATAGAGAAGAGGCAGGATTATAGTAAGTCAGATAGTGATAATTGGGGCAAGTTTAACTTTGTGGGGCATTGCTCAGAAGATCTGTGGCCCATGCCTAGGCAAGCCTTCAGGAACCTTGCTGCTTCTGACAGGTACAGCTCAGTGGGGCCTGGACTACTCCAGGGCAAGGTGGTCTTCTTCACAGGGCATTTGCTGCTAATAGTCCCTGTGAGCAGAAGGAGGGGCCCAACCTAGCTGGTAAAAGCAGCTGGAGATTGTAACATCCATTAATTTTTTTCTGATTCTTTATTATTATTTTTAATATCCAGTTCTGGTTTGGAGTTTTCATTTTATTATTTTTTTGGTAAAACCATACAGATAATACAAGCTAAAAAGAAAATAATAATCTTGTTTGTTTGCTGATTCTCTAGACGTAAGGATGTTTGATTTTCAGGATATTCAGTGCTGCAAATGGAATGTTACAGACTGATTTCACTTATCACAGCTCACTAGAAGCATTGGATTTCAGAGCAAATGTAACAGATTTTCCAGTGCTTGAACATGCTTCAACATGATGCAGTGATAGAGGAGAAAGGCTGCTGCCAATTGGATTTTTTGACATTCCTACCTTTACTTGGCAAGGAGACTTAAGCAAAGCATCTTGTTAGTTCAGGATTATATAAAACAATAATGTCTGACTCACTTGTAGGTACAACAGTTCCCTCCAAATCTGGACCCTGATGGGCCTGACTAAGGGTTCCAAGCAACCATGGCCCAGCCTTGCCCTATCCTGGAGAACCTCTATGAGTTGCATTGTTGTATATAAATTTTCAAGGGAGACCTGAATATACCTAAATACTGTTTTTGTTGCTGTGAAGGATAAGCAGTAAAGCACTGCAGGGGCAGCTACAAGGATCCACCCTTTTTTTAAAGGAGGCTGAGGACAAATACTTCTTTATCTGGGCTCCGAATCAATGTTTTTCTCTTTGGCATCTAAAGTATGGCTTTATGTCTTCAGGAGTATAAACCTCTAAAGAATGTTTATCACATAGCAAGAACTTTCTCCTCAAACTAATAGAAGTATTAATGTCATATTTATTAATAATGTGGCTTGTAAAACTGTCGACAAACAAGCAAACAAACCCCAGTTCTGTACTTACAAGAAAAAAAATCTAAAATCCGTATCAGTCTAATAACTTCATTAGTTATTAAGTCTTTATTACACATAATAAACTTACTGCATTAATATGGAATTTTGAAGTTTACTTTCTGATGTTTCTGTTCTTCTATTTTATTGATGTATTGGTTCATAGAATCATAGATTAGTTTAGTAGGAAGGGATAAAGAAGGCCATCAGGTCCAACCTATGCTCAGTGCAGGATGCCAAGTTAAACCATCTCTCTCAGATGGCTGTCCAGCTGCATCTTGAATGCCTCTAGTGCGACAGAGCCCACAACCTCCCTAGGTAATTGGTTCCATTGTCATACTGCTGCAGCAGTCAGGATGTCCTTCCTGATGTTCAGCCAGAACCTAGCTTCCTCTAACCTGAGCCCATTCTTCCATGTCCTGCACTCTCAAGAAGAGATCCTCACCTTCCTCTTTGTGACCACCTTTCAAGTACATGAAAAGTGCTACCATATCTCCCCTTAGTCTTCTCACTGGTGTGTGTTTGTGTGTATGTGTGTGCTTACTGGCTTTGTATCCTGGTAGAATTATTTTATAATGAATAAGAGGCAATAAATTGAATGAACAAACACATGCTTGCTTTGTAATAAGATATTATGAAATAAATTGGCTGGAATTGTCACCCATTTCTTACAGGTGCAGTTCTATCTGATCATAACAGCCCACCTTGAGCTCCAAATTTTGTGAGAAGTTTTGATCAACAGTAACATTTCTGCTACCCTGTTTCCCCAAGTCCCATGACTTCTGAAGCAAGTGCTTTGTCATTCTTTTAAGTACTGAACCAGATTTGCCCAAGTGTGTTGAGGACACTGATGTCTGTTAGGAAAGCATTACTGAAAGGGACACTGTCATCCCAACTTAAATTGCACACAAGAGAATATTTTTGCTAGAAAAAATACCTTTGCATTGTTAAAGTTCTGTACTTTGTGGAGTAAATACTTTGTTTTTTTATTGTAGGCACTATGGTTGCACTTGTTATTTTAGCTTTGGGATTTTTGCTGTCAGCTCAGGTATCACCACAAGTCACCCTTAATCCTGAAGGCCCTTCAAGTCCAAATTCTACCTGCACAAAATATAGGTAAGTAATCATGATTTGCTCACAAAAACATACACTTTTGCAAAATTGACTTTTATTATTCAGGTTCAAAATACTCCAAGAATGTTTCTGTTTCTTCAGTTGTAGGATTTATTCTATTGCAGCTGTGGTACTCCAATAAGCAATGTTGTTGACTCTTTGTATATTAATTGGTAATTCGATATTACCCATACATGTACAGGCCTCTTAACTAGATTTTTTCTTTAACAATAATTAGCAAAAGCACAATTTCAGTGGAGATTGGAGGCCCACTTTAATGTTCCATTCTTTGATTATGGACAAAGCACTTACTGGAATAAGCCCCACAACATTCTTGTAGAAAATTCCTGAGTGAGTCTAGAGAGGTTACTATTGGTCCAGAAATCACTCTATTTTTTAGACATACATTTTGTCTTGGATGCAAAGAGACCTCTGTGATTTCAGCCTGCTCTAGCTGTACCGCAGCATCTCCTCATGCTGTATTAATACTGCTCCAGAAGGTTCACAGGAGTGGCTTTGAGCCTGTGGCAAGATGCCATTGCAGTTGTATAGAAACAGGAAAAATGCTTTTAATGGGTGGATTCTAGATTGCAAGCTGGCCTGACCTAAAATTTTTCTCCATGGTCTCTTGTTTCTGCAAACATTTGTAATACTTTTTACTCTTTCTCAGCCTTTAGTGCTAGGTTGACTTAAAATCCAGCTTCATTATTTACAAAAGTCAAATTAATTCTGAGTTGCTCTGAATGTGGCTGTCTTAGAAAATGAAGAGGAAGCAAAGTGTTTGGTGCCTGTTGTAAGATCAGTGTAAATTTATTTTTGGTTGAAGTAATGTGAAAGTTGTATTTTAGATAAGACGCAGATGAAGAGAAACTCGAAGAATGAAACAGGCTTTATTAGCTCCTCAATGCAGTACAAGTAGGAATAAGTAGTATTCTATAGCCAAATAAAGAGGACTTTAAATCATGTTGTTGTCTTTGGCAAAGCTGTGGTATGTGGTACGAGGCATGTAGTATTTGTCAAATGAATATATCATATGGTGCTGCAGCTGAGTGAACACCATTACCATGAAAGATAGTGATAGATGGGGATGATTGGTTGGGTTGTTACTCACCTTAAATCCTAATCATGTATTTACCAGGAAGTTGTGCCTAGGTTTCAGTATCTTGGAGGAGGGATTCTTGCATTCTCCTCATCTCAAATGAAGTCACCTGATACCTTATACTAGCAATATAGGGAGAAGCCAGTGTTGTACTATTCTTTGTGCAGCAGTCTCATCAGTTCTTCTCATCTGTGTAAATAATCTTAATACTGGATTAAGAACTATGCACCAAAATAATGTCCAGGTAGCAGGAAGACCTCTCTAGGCAATATTATATGTACTGAAAGGTACTCTTATGGCTATTACTATCCTTTCATCAAAGCACTGCATATTTTAGCAATGTTTTTTCCTGTTAATATTTTTAGGTGCTTGTCAAACAAGTCTGGGGAGTTGGAGAGCTAATGTAGTGTTAAAGTGTTGGACTAAGATTCAACAGAGCCAGGATCTAGTTCCCACTCAGCCCTGAAACTTACTGGGTCACTCACTGTCAGCCCACACAACCTCTCAGGATTGTGATGCAGAAAAAATAGAGAGGAGGATTATGTAAGCCTCACTGGGTTCCTTGCAGTAAACAGGCATGTTATAAATATAACAAAATAAGCAAGTCATGAAATAAACAAGGCATTAGCTTTTTTCAGTTCTGGGTCAACTAGGTAGAGACTGGGTTTGCATGATCACTGTGACCTACTATGGCTTGTTTGTGAGGCTCCGTTGGAATAGTCAAGCCAGGATGTGCTATTGCTATGGGTTATGACATGTAAACTGCATAAGTGGCTTATGCAGGCCCTGCTTAACCCTTGCATAGGCCACCCTCACTGATCACCAGAGTTTGAATATTTAAAATGGCCATTGGCACACACCAGAATGAACTGTAGCTTTTAAAGAAGTAGGCTGCAGTGATTGTGGGAACAAGTCTCTACTACTTGTTTTGAAAAGTTGATTTCAGAGAAGGTTTTTCCTTAGGATCAAAGGGTGGATAACAAGAACTTAAATTATAAACATAGGATCTAATTTTTCATTCATATGTATTTTAGGGTTCTTAACTTTGATGGATGGTATTGAATGTCAGTGCTGGGTAACAGTTCTTTAGGCACTGAACTCTTGGCTCCCTGATGGTGAATTCAAATGGGTGCATCTTAGTTTAATTACATTAAACTAAGCAGGGAAGAATGCATAATACAGATATCCTAGATTTATGGGGGTGGGGGCTGGAAGCCTCCAAGATAATATGTTAATGGAAGGTGTACATCTTGTCCTGGATGCGTACAGTTTTGCCTGTTGAACAAACAAGGGTTCAGGTGCTAGGAAAGTTCTTAAAAAGGCAATGAAGATATTCTCCTCACAGGCTTTCCTGAATTCACTTGACCATGTTTGTCTAATTTAACCAGAAATATAGTAAGTCAAATGAGAACAGCTCTATTCCATGCGTTTACAAACTGCTGAAGTAGTAGAATGCCACAGTTTTTTTGTCTTTATAAAGAAATGTGTTCTTCAGAGCTCAGTGAATTTTCTCGAATGGTAGCTTAGTATAACTTTCTTATTTGTGTGCTGATTGTGCATTGATTGACTGTATCTTGCTTCCCTTACTACATAATTTCTCCACTATTGCTAGAACAAGACTGAGAGCAGAACTGACCTGAGATGATAAGAACAGAATTGGTTTCACAACTTGCAAAAGCAATTTTGATGGACATATTTCCTTCAGATATGGGATATTTGAAAGGAAATAACAAGCAATACAAAAAATCTGTTCAAATAAAGGTGCAATTTAATATAGAAACTCTTTAATTTGAAAACACAGTTCACAGATAATGGAAAAATGGGCTCCAATTATATTTAATTAAAGTTTTCCTATACCATCATTAAAAATCTCATGATGCTTTACCAATTATGGTATAAATTAGTGGAAAAATTGAACTTGAGAGCATAGTGCTTTGACAAACATTGTGAAAATTGCATCCATTAAATTATCTAGCAATGTGTGGGGTATTCTTTCAATCCAGTTTTTTTATCCACAAATATACAGGGTGCGGCAGAAATACCTCCCACATTTTAAAGGTTAAAAAAAGGAAAAAGAAACAACATTTAATAAAAATTAATTTCACTATTGTTTAAACAAAGGGTTACAGTTTTTATTAATTTGGTTTTAAAAATTACATCCTCCAGATGGTGGCCTCTATTCACTAAACACTGTTGTAGACTATTTCTGAAGTTTTCCATCGCTCGAAGAGTCATACCAGGCGGTATTTCTGCAATCTTTTGATGAATACCATCCTTTAATTCTTCAGTGGTACCCAGTCGATGTCTGTAGACCTCTGCTTTCAAGTAACCCCAGAGAAAAAAATCATGGGCTGAGATTGGGCGAGCGTGCAGGCCATTCAATGTCACTGCGTAAGGAAATCAAATGTCCTGGAAACATTTCCCTCAAAGCTTCCATTGATCTCCTTGCTGTGTGCGCGGTGGCTCCATCTTGCTGAAACCACACATCCTGATTGCAAAGGTCGTTTACTTTTGGTTCCAGAAATGTCTGCAGCATCTCCACATACCGGTCAGATGTTACTGTAACCGAGTGGTTTCTCTCCTCAAAAAAATAGGGTCAGACAATCCCAAGGCAGAAGCATGTTTACGAGTTGAACATGTAGGAGACTGAGTAACAGAAAGTCTCACAGCTTGAACACTTTCTGGAGTTTGAGCACTTCGAGGTCTTCCAGGTGGCTTTCTTTTAAGTGCTGAACCTGTGGCTCTGAAATTTGCAACCCATAGCAGTATTGTTTTTCTATCCGGAACAGCATTCTGACCTAACATGTAATGAGTTCGAAAAGTTCTCTGTGTTGCAATTACAGATTCACCATTCTTCAAAAATGTTTCTACAGCAAAAGCATGCTGTGCACCAGTCCAAACCATATTGCTAGATGTGGGTATATGAAAAAAATGGGAAGTCATTAGCTAAATGAAGACATCATTGGCACTTGCATAAGTTCATTAGCAACACATGTGGGAGGTATTTCTGCTGCACCCTGTAGTTGGATGAGGATAGAAGCAAATTGGCGATTCTCAGCCTGAATAGAATTCAGGTGTTAGATGTTGTTGTTGTTGTGTGTGTGTGTGTGTGTGTGTGTGTGTGTGTGTGTTATATAAGGTGTTCTGTGATATACAAGGTGTTTCCAGAAAGTTAAGAGAATGAAGTTCCCACATTCAAGAAGGGCTCTATGAAGGAAGAAGTTGGCCTAGGTCACTTGGGGTAGGGTGCCAGGTATACATTTGAACACTGATCAGTTGCATTCCAGCCCTGTCAGCATCAAGACCTTTTTTTTTGTGACACCCTGTTCTTGTGCCTTGTATTAGAAAAATGCAAGTGAGTTTGGAACAGCACTATGCAATAAAATTTTGTGTGAAATTGGGTAGAAGTACATCAGAAACTTTGGAAAAGTTGAAGAATGCTTATGGAGAAGCTGCACCATCATCTGCACAAGTGTACCAATGGCACAAGGCCTTCAAGGAAGGACAAGAAGGTATTCAAGATGAACAACAATCAGGACATTCCTCTTCATTAAAAAAAAAAAAAAAAACCCAATGTGGATGCAGTGAGGCCTGTTCATGACAACACACCAAGTCACAGTGCTTTGACTGTCAGAGAGTTTTTGACTGAGAAACGCATCACAGTGCTTCCCCATCTACCCTACAGTCCCAACTGTGCTCCTTTCAACTTTTTCATACTCCCAAAGATGAATGGTTTGAAAGGACACCATTTTGGTAGTGTGGGTAATGACCAAAGAGCCACTACACAGGCTCTGAACGCCATCTCACTTGAAGACTTCCAAGGATGCTATGAAGAATGGAAAAATCACTGGGACTGTTGTGTACACTCACTCATACTTTGAAGGAGACAATGCTCAACTGTAAT